CTCTACAGGGCTAGAAGCATACAATGCATAATATTAGTAATGTGCACAATAAAAACAGTTTTCATTTTAATCAGCTTAAGATACATAACAGAAAAGGTGTGCAAGAAACTACACAAAACAGAAAACTCTTTTTCTTTGATTGTTTATTAGAATATATTGTGGAAAAAATGAAAACCCTTCTCAGATTATCTATTATACATGTTTTCTTGAAAATATTTGCAAACAAAGTCATGCATACAGTCCTTAGATATTTACAAAAAAAATTTTACAGCATGATCTTATGCATCTTGGGCCTTAGTATAAAAATCACCCCTGCTTTCCCTTTTTGGCTCCATCTGGTGATTTCAGAGGCAGACTGCTACAAAGTCATTTCTCCCTGCATATATGTTAATAGTCTACAGGTTAAAGTACAAAATGTGGAGCATAATAAACGAAAGTAATGCAAAGACTGATTCAAAATAGAAGCTCTTAAATGTAAATATTTTCCAGTGCTGTAGGAAGCATGAATGTGGAGACAATCAAAAGAGAAGTTCAAAGCTAAACCTGCCACACCGGTTTCATTTCTCTATGTGAGTGATCAAACTTCTAAGCTGTGTTCTGCTCAGGAGCCTCATCTTCCTGTGACTCCCTCTCAACTTCTTCACGTATTTCCTCATAACCTCTACTTCTAAGCCCTGACATCCTCCTCCTCCGCTTGAATAGGACCACTCCCACTATGGCCACCATCAGCATCACACCCATCACACCAAAAGCTACACCTGCCTTTTCTCCATTAGACATTTGACTGAGTTCAGGGTTAAGGCCTTGAACAATTTCCTGGATTTCTTCTGGTTTGGCAAGTTTCCACATTTTGGTCTGGCCCACTCTCACCCAGCTGTTTTCTCCTTCAGTCATCACCATTACTGTGTTGGTGGCTTGCACGCTGATAAGTGGAGGTTTGGTGAATGGAGGCAGACGAATTGGTTTGAGCTCTCCACCTGTGAACAGTCCAGACTGAACACAGTAGAGGATTTCACAGCCATCACTGATTGCAGCAAGGTGCTGACTGAACTTGGGAGGGCACCTGCGTTGATTCCTTGCCAGTGGGTTTGTTGACTGACAGCTGAAGAGACCTCCGAATGGTACTGAGAATCTGGTACCTGCCTCATAGTCTTTACTTATACAGATCACCTCACCATCTGAGAAAAAATTTACTGGAATGAAATTTGGGGGACAGCTTTTGCTTTTCGTGAGGGGGTTCAGGAGCGAGGGGCTGTATATGCCTCCAAACAGATACCCTGAGTTTTCTGGAGCCTGTCCATTTATAGAGCACCAGTAGGTGTTGATGCGAGCAGAACGAACATGGTTTACATCCTGACACCGTTTGTTGTAACAAGTTGACAACCACAAGAAACCACAGGAATAACTTTCCTCGTAACATTCATACTTGGGGTAGCTTTGTTGTCTCACCTCTGATCTGAGTAAAGTTGGTAAATAAGGTGGACGACAGGAGAAGTCACCTGTATCTGGGTTTTTCTGTGCCAGGGCATCACAAAGGGGATCTGCATCATAACTGATTTTAACACACTCTTGGTAGACACCACCAAAACTGAGGTTTGTAGCTGGACCCTCACAGGAATTATCATCCATGTTAGCCTGGAAGTTGAAGTTCTTGGAGTTGACATCAACACATCCGGGGCGAGTATTGATCTTGTAGTAGCGCTCTACAGCCTGACTGACTTTAAGAGCAACTTTTCTAATCGTAGGGTGTGGCAGATCAGTGAGAGTGTTGGTGTTTATGAAATAGTGCAGAGGAAATCCTGAGCGATCGATGGCAACGAGGTTGTTTCTGGTACTTTCCTGCCACTTCTGCAGAGTGATGCCAGGATAGAAGGTTGTGCCTCCGTGGCTTTGAATGAGGGAGTACTGAATATTGGATTGGTATGTTTGAAGTGATGAGCTCTGTTGGGCACTTTGACTGCTAATGTCAAATTTTAGTTTATCAAAGAAGTTTAATCCAGCCTGTGCTTTCACAGAGGAGCTTTGTGACTGGCTGTCTGACACATATGAGGAACGGAGATAGTCCTCCTGCACCAAAGCAGCCCCAGCATCCACAGTAGTGATGACATGAGTCCCATAGTCCAGCACCATCTTCTCCGAGAGATAGTCTGCACTTCTTGTCTGGTTGTTCTCAATTGCATCAGCGATGTCTCTGACTTGCTGAACAAATCGTGTGTCCAGAGTGAAGTCTGGATAAGCCTTAACTGTGTAGAGGAAGTTACGAACCTTTGAAAGAGAGGATTACAATATTATTATTTCTAACTGCAGTATTTTTTTTTATCATTAATATATAATTAATTTTCCATATGCCATATGTTTTTGAATAAATCTTGAATGTCATAATTTATTTATTTCTAACACAAAAAATATTTATAGCATTCATTGGTTTAAAGAGACTAATAAAGAAAAAATATGTAATGCCATTTATCATATTTTAGCAACTAAATTTTAAAGACAGAGTACTTCTTACACAAAAAAAATGTTTAAAAGTGCTTTAATGAAGAAGTACCCCAACTGTGGCACTTGTGTTTTATTTTACACTAAAACATCTGAAGATAAACTTACCTGCACTCTGGCTGTGGTTGAAGAGTCCCTGACCTGATGGGTTTTCATTCTCTTGTTCTCACTAGAAAATTTACCATTGAGAACTGGGAGGAAGGATATGTCTGCATTAATGCTTTCAGAGGTTGAGCTTTTCTGCTCAAGCCAGGACCTGATGATCTCTGAGCTGGTCTCCACACCTGTCTCTTTGTGAGTGATAACAAAAACTTCATCTGGGATAAGGTAGAGCCCATCCTCAGTAGTCTGGCACTGGAAGTAGCTGAGGTTCATAACTCGACCCATGTCCATGTTTCGCAGATTGTCCCATCCTCCACCTGGCAGCACCTCCAGCGCTGTGATGGAGAGGTTGACAGAGGCACGGCATTGTCTGAGCCAGTTTGTTGGATGGCTTACAGGTACTGAAGAGCAGAAATGAAAGAAAAAGACCACCAGGGGTGCTGCTGCAGCTTTCATGATGACTGTCAACTTGAGCACCAGCACCACTGCATATATACAGCTTTAGCCAAGTCCCTCCTACTCTTATCATATACTTGCCTTACTGTATCATATTACAGACATCTTTTTCAACTAATATCTGTAGGTTGAAGTTTTGTGTTCATTCCCATTTCTGCAATAGTTTTTTTTACCCCAGAAACCATTCTTGTACACCTGAAACTTTTGCATATGTTCCTGCACAGTTTTATGTTATATAATTTTTTGATTATTATTGTTTTTATGCTTTGACTGTTTCTCAATCAAAACATATTCAAAGTGTATAGTGTTCTAAAATTAACTCCAGAGAACCTGCCCGTACAGTAAGACAGTCTTTATCTTAAAAATATTAACAGACAGACACCTTAAGGTAGTGTCGTCCTCATGTAAAAGAGCAGATGAAAACAATCTTTTAACATCTGAACAGTCACATGAGTGTGCGTCACTGGAAAGTTCCAGGGAATTTTTGAGACTCCAACAGTCAAGCCTAGGATTGTATGGCAAAACCTCCTTTCAAGAACCTTCTGTGGCTGGGGTGGGTGAGGGGAACGGGTTGAGCAGAAAAACACAAAGAAAGTTGGTGAACAAAACCAGAACAAAAACACTGGCTGCTGAAGAGTGAAAATACTCTATAATAATACTCTTTTTCTCTAAAAGTAACTCATGGCGGGTTCACGCCCTCGGTCCACGCCTTCCCGGATCATGCACACCTGGGCCTCATCAGACCAGCTGGTATATTAGAAGGAGGAGATCAGCTGTTCAA